GGGGAGCCTGGTGGGTGGGCCTGGCTGAGCGGGCCTCCTCCTGCCCTTGGGAGGGACCGGGGCCAGCTCTGCTACCTTTGTCGCCGCTGCATCCCGCGGGGCCTGCGCTGCTGGAATGGAGGCGCTGTGCCGAGGATGCGCTCTGGCTTTCAGCTCTGCCCGCTGGGTTGGGCATCTGGGAGCGGCCACAGAGAGTCGGTTTTGGATGCTCCGCTCCCCATAGGACCTCCACAGCGGAGCCAGGCTCCGGAAGGCAGCTGAGCGAGGGCTGCCTGCCCCTACTCCAGGCCCCTGACTCGAGCTGTCATTTCTCTTGGGGCGCCTTGGCTTACAGTGCAAGAATGTAACCGCTAGGTGTCTTTGTGTGTGAGGGGGTGGGGGGTGGTACGCTTGTCTTGTGCACTTAGGAAAGGGGTGACCGTAGTCCAGTATAGGATCAGGAAAACACCTGAGCCATGGCCGGTTATTTGATTGTTACGAGCCCTTAGTTCCCACATAATTTTACTTTTCCTCATGGGGTTGTTATCAGGATGAAATAAGATACTGCTCAGGAGAAATAAAGGACAGTGCTTGCCACTTAGCATTAAATACTCAATATTTGTTCCTTGTCGTTGCTTTCAAATTGTTTATCAATTCATTGAGTAAATATTGGGCACCAACCACATGGTAGGCACCAGAGATACAATATTGAACAAAACCAGCCTGGTTCTTGACCTTGGAAAGAGAGAAGCGTGTCTTCTTGGGCAGAGGTCAAAACCATACATGTTTATAGAGACAAGCCACTTAACATTAATGAAGTCAGTTGGTGGCATACAATAGATAGAAGTAGGTTCTGATTAAGTGTTGCCATGTAGGAATGCTGGCTTACAGATGTCAGATCATCTATTTTTTTTTTTCCCAAGAGAATCTGTAATTGTCATTTTGTGAAATTTTTCAATTTTTAACTTTTAGCAACGGAATAAAAATTAATATATATTTTTATTAGTTTCAGAAAGGAAAGGGAGATATAGAAATATCAATGATGATAGAGAATCATTGATCGGCTGCCTCCTGCACACTCCACAATGGACCTGGCATGGACCGGACATTGAACCGTGACCTCCTGACTCTCAACCATTGAGCAACACTGGCCGGGCCGAGAGATTTTTAAATATACTATGAGCCAAACAAAAGACATCTGTGGGTTGAATTCATCCCCTTGACTACCTGTTTGCAACCTCTGGTGTAGGCAGAGAAAAACAACAGACACTAATTAAATAATGAGCAATCAAAAGGTGATTGTAACCAGATGTAAAAGTGAGAAGTGCTCTCAGGGCCTACACAGGCATGCCTTGTGTTATTGCTCTTTATTGGGCTTCACAGATGTTTTGTGTTTTTACGAATTGAAGGCGAGACCTTCCACCAGCAAAAAGATGATGACTCCTATTGCATTGCTCTGTTACATTACTCCATTTATTATTGTGGTTTGGAATTGAACCTGCAGTATCGCTGAGGTATGCCTGTACAAGGATTTGACCTACTCAGAAGTCTGCCCAGGTGAAGTGACTTTTGAGCTGAGACCTGCAGTATAAATGAAGAGGGGAGTGAGGGATGTTCTAGGCAGAAGGAACTACACCTATAAAGGTCTGTGGTGAGAGGGACCATGGTGACAATAAAAGGCCTAAAAGAAAGCCACTGTGGCTGTGGCTAAGAAAGCCAAGCACGGTAACTTGTGAAAGAAGATAGGAGAGGTAGACACGGGCCAGAGCCAGATCTTACCTTAAGGATTTTTAAAAAAATATATTTTATTGATTTTTTACAGAGAGGAAGGGAGAGAGATAGAGAGTTAGAAACATCGATGAGAGAGAAACATGGATCAGCTGCCTCCTGCACATCTCCTACTGGGGATATGCCCACAACCCAGGTACATGCCCTTGACCGGAATCGAACCTGGGACTTTTCAGTCCGCAGGCTGACGCTCTATTCACTGAGCCAAAGCGGTTTCGGCAAGGATTTTTATTTTTATCCTAAGATTTGTGGGAAACCATTGAAGAGTTTTAAGTAGATTGTTTCTCTAGTGCATCGAAGAGTATCAAATAGTAGTCATACTAAAACATTTTTCTCTGCTGCCATTTTCCCCCTTTTGTCTTTCATTTATTGTTGTCTTCTATAAAGAAAATAGACTATATATGGATGTATTATATGATAAAAAACATTTTACTAATTCATTATAAAAAAAATAAAAGTCTCAGGAGAACAGAGGACCTGCTACCTACTATATTCTTGATGATTAAAGTTGTTAATTTTGTTCACATGTGTTTCCTACAGGTAGGAAACTCAGGAATTCTGGGACTTTTGTGCAGAATGACAATAATATACCGATTCATTTCTGCTTGAGTAGCATTTACTATAAATGTAAATTATATTTTCCCTCCCCTCATTTGTATTGTAAAAGAAACTTTTCTTTTTCACATTTTTAAGTACACTTCTTCTATTAGCTGTAAGATGTTGAATTGCACTTAACAGATGTTTATGCAGTACTTATATGTGCAAGGCACTGAGATGGCATAGTCACCTTTTTCAAATTTTAAACTTAGTCTGTTGAAGGTAAATGTAAATGTTCTTTTCATGATCTGTAAATATTTTCTCCACCAGATCAATAAGTCAGAGAAGCCAGAAAGCTGTGATAATGTGAAGGTGGTTGTGAGGTGCCGACCCCTCAATGAGAGAGAGAAGTCCATGTGCTACAGACAGGCTGTCAGTGTGGATGAGATGAGGGGAACTATCACTGTACATAAGACCGATTCTTCCAATGAGCCTCCAAAGACATTTACTTTTGATACAGTTTTTGGACCAGAGAGTAAACAACTTGATGTTTATAACTTAACTGCAAGGCCCATTATTGATTCTGTTCTTGAAGGCTACAATGGTGAGTACTTTGTATAGTTCACTTTTTTTAAAAACAACTTTATTTTGGTATTATTAGTAACCCATAAATTCACTTATTGCAATTATAGTTTGATGAGTTGTAGTGAACACATACAGTTGTGAAACTAGCACACAGTTCAATTTATCACCCCCAAAAGTTCCTTTATATCCATTTACAGTCCCACCCCCAGGTAGCAATTGACTTGCTTTCTATTTATGGTTTCACCTTTACTCAGAATGTCATATAAATCAAACCCTACACTGTCATCTTTCTTATCTATTTTATTTGGCATACTTTTTTTGAGGGTCATTCATGTTGTAGCATCTATCAGTAGTTTGGCTCTTTTTTATTGCTGAATACATCACCTTTTATGATCTTTGATAGAAATCTGGATTCCAATTTTTTGGCTATTATATAAAATGCTGCTATGAGCATTCCTTTTAAGGCTTTGTACAGATACATTTTAAGGTTTTTCTTGGGTAGATACGTAGGAGTGGAATTGCTGGGTCGTATGGTTAATGTATATTTATTTTATTTTTATGAAGTCTATTATAATTAATTGGGAGAGTAGTTTGGCCAACTTGTTTGGCCAATTTTTTCCCATTAAAATTTTTTTATTTTTCAGTTACAGTTGACATACATTATTATGTTAGCTTCAGGTGTGCACCCCAATGATTAGACATTACATAACTTACTAAGTGATCACCCTCATAAATTTAGTACCCATTGACACCATACATAGTTATTAGAATATTATTGACTATATTCCCTATGCTGTATTTTACATAGCCGTGGCTATTCTGTAACAACCAATTTGTACTTCTTAATCCCTTTTTTCACCTATCCCCTTAACCCCCTGCCCATCTGGCAACTGTCAAAATGTTCTCTGTGAGTCTGTTTAGTTCTCTGTGAGTATCAGTGAGTCTATTTCAGTTCTGCTTGTTTGTTCTTCAGATCAGTTAGTGTATCCTTCATTTCTTTTTTTTATATATATTTTTATTGATTTCAGAGAAGAAGGGAGAGGGAGAGAGAGATAGAAACATCAATGATGAGAGAGAATCATTGATGGGCTGCCTTCTGCACGCCCCACACTGGGGATCGAGCCCACAACCCGGGCATGTGCCCTGACTGGGGATCGAACTGTGAGCTCCTGGATCATAGGTCGACGCTCAACCAAGTGTCATAAAAGCAGAGCCTGAAGAAAGTAGGAATCTACCCACGTGGATAGCTGAGAGAAGTACATTCTAAGCAGAGGAACAAACGAGCACAAAGCCCCATAAGCAGAAACGTGCTTGGTGTGTTCCAGGAATGAGAAGAGGCCAGAGGAGTTGGCATCAAGTGAACAAACCCAAGTGTGTTAGACAAGGTCAGAGCGGTAAATGGGCAGAGCAGCTCATGTGGGTATTGTAGGCCGGAGAAAGGACCTTGGCTCTTCCTTCCCTGTGAGTGAGATGCTCCTATGTTTTTATCTACAAGTTGTAAACATTTTAGGTCTTACATTTAGGTCTGTCATCCATTTTGAGTTTTTATATGTGATGTGAAGTAAGAGTCTAGTTCTTTCCCCATTTTTTTCCTTCTTGCCTGTGGATATCCAGTTGATCCAGCACCATTTGTTGAAAAGGCCATCCTTTCCTTTGGAACTAACTTGGTTCTTTTGGTAAAAATGAAAGGACCACGAATGTGTGGGCTTATGTTGGATTGTCTATTCTGTTCCACGTATATCCTCTTTTGATTACTGCAGCTTTATAATGTTTTGAAATTAGGTAATATATGATCTCTAACTTTATTCTTTTTCAAAATTATTGTGTGGTTTTTCTGGTGTCCTTTGCATTTTCATATAAATTTTAAGATCACCTTGTCAATTTCTACCAAAGTAACCTGGAATTTTGTTGAATTGTTATTCTGACAATGTTGGAGTCTTTTGGTTTCTTATATCAGTATTTTTATAGTTTTAATAAATTTGTTTTTAATTATTTTTGACACTTTTGTGAATAGAACTGTTCTTATCATTTCATTTTTGGAATTATGCATTGTGAATGTATAGAAATGCACTTGATTATTTTAGTAGGGTTTTTTTAATTGAGATAACAATTTAAATAACATAAAATTGACTACTTTAACCACTTCACAGTGTACAAGTCAGGTTTTCAGCACCTTCATAGTGTTGTGCAACTGTTACCATTATCAGTTTCCAGAACATTTCCATTACCCCCAAAAGAAACTTTTATCTGTATTAGTAGTTACATCTAATTCTGCTCTCTCCTACTCTGCAACAACTTACTACTTTCTGTGTGTATGAGTTTGCCTGTTCTGGGCATTTCATATAAATAGAATCAGACACTGCAGAGTCTTTTGTGTCTGGCTCCTTAGCATGTTTTCAGTGTTCATCCTTATTGTATGTATCAGTACTTCATTCTTTTTGTGGCAAAATAATATTCCATTGTACGGATATAGTATATTTTGTATATTCATTTATCAGTTGATGAACAATTATTTTCATTTTTTGGCTATTATGAAGAATATTACTATGAACATTCTTGTACAAGTTTTTGTGTGAACATGTTTTCAGTTCTTTTATGTTACCTGGAGTTGAATTCCTGGGTCAAAAAGTTAACTGCCAGACTTTTCCATAGTGGCTGCACCATTTATATTCCCACCAACAATGTATGAGGTTCCTAATTTCTCCACATCTTTGACAAAATTTGTTATTTGTCTTTTTTATTGTAGCCATGCTAATATTATGAAGTGGTATCTCATTGTATTTTGCAGTTTATTTTTTAAAAACTGTTGTATACTGCAACCTTGCTAAACTTATTATTTCTAGTAGACTATCATTATTATTATTATTATTATATTTATGTAAATTTCGTAGGATATTCTACAGACACAAGAGCATGTTGTTTGCAAATAAAGATAGTTCAACCAATTTCTTTCTTTCCTATTCTTTTTTTTTCATATATTTTATTGATTTTTTACAGAGAGGAAGGGAGAGGAATAGAGAGTTAGAAATATTGATGAGAGAGAAACATCGATCAGCTGCCTCCTGCACTCCTCCCACTGGGGATGTGCCCGCAACCAAAGTACATGCCCTTGACCGGAATCGAACCCGGGATCCTTCAGTCCGCAGGCCGATGCTCTATCCACTGAGCCAAACCAGTCACGGCTCTTTCTTATTCTTTTATTACTTGAATTGCACTATAGTTTCATAATTTCTTTCTGTTACCTGAATTGCACTGGCTAGAACCTACAGTACAATGTAGTAGTGGTGATAGTGGACATTTTGTCTTGTTCCTGATCTTAGAGAGGAAGCAGTCATTGTTTGACTAGTAAATATGATGTGATTTGTAGATGCTTTTCTTTCTTTTTTGTTTTATTGTTTAAAGCAGTGGTTCTCAACCTGTGGGTCGCCACCCCTTTGGCGGTCGAATGACCCTTTCACAGGGGTCACCTAAGACCATCCTGCATATCAGATATTTACATTACGATTCATAACAGTAGCATCATTACAGTTATGAAGTAGCAACGAAAATAATTTTATGGTTGGGTCACAACATGAGGAACTGTATTTAAAGGGCAGAAGGTTGAGAACCACTAGTCTAAAGTTTTACATAGGTCTCCTTTTTCCCCAGTTGACGCTCCCCCTTGGCCCCCCAGCCATTCCCAACCAGGGCAAGCCCCCACTGTCCCAGTGTCTGTGTTTATTGGTTATGCTAATATGCATGCATATTCTGCAGATACTACATGAATGAAAAGACCAACATTAGTTGGACATTGGCATACTTCAGTTCTGCAGATACTAAACCACATATGAGTGAGATCATGTGATATTTATCTTTCTCTGACTGGCTTATTTCTATTTGTAGATTTTTCATAGACATCCTTTATCAGATTGAGGATGTTTCCCTCTGTTCTTAGTTTGCTGAGAGTTTTTTCAGGAATGTATATTTCAGTGATGGCGAACCTTTTGAACTTGGCGTGTCAGCATTTTGAAAAACCCTAATGTAACTCTGGTGCCGTATCACATATAGAAATTTTTTGATATTTGCAACCATAGTAAAACAAGGACTTGTATTTTTTATATTTATTTTATATATTTAAATGCCATTTAACAAAGAAAAATCAACCAAAAAAATGAGTTCGCGTGTAACCTCTACACGCGTGTCATAGGTTTGCCATCACTGGTATATTTTGTCAAATGCAATTTTTTCTGCACTTATTTAAATGATCTTTTAAAAAAATATGTTAATATGGTCAATTGCATTAATTTTAAAATATGAAACCAGCCATGCCACCTGGTCATAGCGTATTATCCTTTTGTATATTGCTAGATTTGATTCCCTAAAATTTTGTTTACATTTTTTGTATCTCTGTTCATGAGGAACATAGTGTATAGTTTTCCTATAATGTCTTTATAGGGTTTTGTTATCAGGATAGTTCTAATTTCATAGAATGAGTTGGGAAATATTCCCTCCTTTTTAATTATCTGAAAAAAATTGGTCTAGAGCAGTGGTTCTCAACCTTGGCTGCACATTAGAATCACCTGGGAATCTTTTTAAAATCCTGATTTTTGGGCCTCATCCTCCGGAAATTCTGTTTCTTTGTTACTAATGTTGTGGCCCCACCCCATAATAAAGAAGTGAACAAAGGTGAAATAATGAGAGAAAAGTCTTACATACTTATTTAAGCCATGTAGTTACCATTTCTGGTACTCTTTATTGCTTTATGTAGATTCACATTTCCATCTAGTATCACTTTCCTTCTGCATTGTAGAACTTCCTTTTTAACATTTCTTAGAGGGGAGGTCTACTGGTAATGAATTCTTCTGCATTTATAGTCTAAAAAAGTATTCATTTTGTTTTTGTTTTTGAAAGTATTTTCAGAGTATAGTATAGATTCTTAGTTTCTTCTTTTAATACTTTAACGATATTACTGTAGTCTTCTCATTTGTATTTTTTTTATGACCAGAAATCTGCTTTCATTCTTATCTTGGTTCTTCTATATATAATGTCTTTCTTTTCTCTGGTGGTTTTGACATTTTCTTCTTAGAGCAATTGATTATGATGTGTCTTGATATGTTTTTCCTTTTTTGGGGGGGGGCGTATGTTTTACTTCATGCTTCTGTGCTTACAGTTCATTAAGTTCCTTGGACTTGTGGTATTGTAGTTTTCATCAAATTTGGAGAAGTTTAAGACACTATTTCTTAAAGCATTTTTTTTTCTCCCTTCTCTCTACTATTTGGGGGACTACACTAATGTATATATTAGACTACTTGAAATTGTCCCACAACTTACTGGTTTTTTTCAAAAATTTTTCTCTTTATTTATGATGGGTTTTTGTATGTTTTCTTTTGCAATGTCTGCTCTACCATTAACCTTGTCATTGTATTTTTCATCTCACACATTGTAGATTTCATCTCTCGAGGTTTGATTTTGATTTGTGTTGTCTTCCATCCAAGTTCTTCCAAAGTTTCCACTGAACTTTTTAACATACAGAATACAACTTTTATAACAGTTTTAATGTCCTTGTCTGCTAATTCTAACATTTGTGTCAGTTCTGAGTTGGTTTTGATTGTTGATTGATTTCTTAATTATGAGTCATATATTTTTGCTTTTTTGCAAGCTTGGCAGTTTTTTTGTTTGATGCTAGACTGAATTTTACCTTGGGTCTTAGATATTTTTTCATTTCTATGAATATTTATGAGCTTTGTTCTGGGATGCAGTTACTTTAGGATTATGAAGAAAATAACTACCATTTACTTGTACTCTACCAGACGTCATGTTGGTCACTTGAAGCGTTTCATTTGGTCCTTACTATTAATGTAGAGTAGCTAAATTTTTATTCCCATTTTACCTTTGAGGAGACTATGTCTGAATAGAAACTTGCTATTTTTGGTCAAATGGTCAAGTGGATAAAAAGTGGCAGATATGTGATTCACACTGAGGTCTTTCTGATCTAGAACCTGTATTCTTTTGCTGTAATTACACTATCTTTTCCAACTTAATGTCCACATTACATAATTACTGTACACATTACAAGAAATGTTTTTAAATGTAAGATTTTACATTTATGGTTTGGAGTTCTTTTTATTAATAATTAGAAATATCTCACTGACTCTAGTACTTTTATAGTGCTTTGCTCATGAGGCATGGAGTACATACATATTGTAATTGTTGTCAATAAAAGTGAAATTTGTACTAGAATTCAGGGAAGAAATTGCATCACAGTGTCAAAGGAATTAATTTTAAGAGCTATTCTACAGACTTATACTTTAAAAAGACATTGATTCTCTTTATTTTCAGGGACTATTTTTGCATATGGACAAACTGGAACAGGCAAAACTTTTACTATGGAAGGTGTTCGAGCTGTTCCTGAACTGAGAGGAATCATTCCAAATTCATTTGCTCATATATTTGGTCATATTGCAAAAGCAGAGGGTGATACAAGGTAAAATAACTCTTTTATTTTTCCAATATTAAGAAGTACAAACTTAAGAAAGGCATATAGATACAGATTTCATAAACACACTTTAAAACTGTTCTTATAAATATTTCACTGTTTTATGTTTTTAAAGTGATGTTTTATTTATAGGTTTTTGGTTCGGGTGTCTTATTTGGAAATATATAATGAAGAGGTTCGTGACCTCTTGGGCAAGGATCAGACACAGAGGTTAGAGGTAAGGATAATTGAAATTGGAGTACTTTCCAAAGACCAATAATAGCTTCACCTTATCTTTGCCTACCTCTATAGCCAGATATCCTACACTCTCGCCACCCTATCCTACTTCCACCCCTGTCCTCCTTCCTACTCTTTCCAGCCTATTTTATTCTTATTTCAGAATCCTTACATTTATTCTTTTCCTCCTACCCCAACCCAGATTGGCTACTTCCTGTTTCTTTAAGTCTTAGCTTGTACATCATCTTAGGGAAACTTATTCTGTCTCTGCTTCACCAGCATAAGTCTCTCTAATGTATTCTTATATTGTCTTATATTTTTTAATTCATGGCATTATCACAATGGAAATAAAATAATTTTTGTGTGTAATTATTTGTATGTTCTCCCTATAGATTTTCACTTCCACAAGCGTAGAGACTGTCTACCTGGTTTATCACTTGTATACTCAATATCAAGCAGTGTCTCACAGATGTTTAATAAATAATTGTGTTAAATAACACATTTATTTACACATTTATATGTAGTGGATGTTCAATGTTCAATAAATAACATAGATGTTCAATGAATAGATGTGAAAGAATTATGGAATATGTGTTAAGTCTTATGATTATTTTTCTTAGGTTAAAGAAAGACCTGATGTGGGAGTTTATATCAAAGATTTATCAGCTTATGTGGTAAATAATGCTGATGATATGGATAGAATTATGACACTGGGCCACAAAAATCGTAAGTGTAATTCATAATTTTGATTAAACATGTATGTGTTGAGTAGGCTGCTTTAGAAGCAAAAACTGTGTGATATTTTGTTCCACAAAGACTGGATTTTTTTTTTTTAATATATATTTTATTGATTTTCTACAGAGAGGAAGGGAGAGGGATAGAGAGCCAGAAACATCGATGAGAGAGAAACATCGATCAGCTGCCTCCTGCACACCCTCCACTGGGAGTGTGCCTGCAACCATGGTACATGCCCTTGACCGGAATCGAACCTGGGACCCTTCAGTTTTCAGGCCAATGCTCCATCCACTGAGCTAAACCAGTCAGGGCAAAGACTGGATTTTTAAGTTTCTTGAAAATCCTTTCTCTTTGATTATTTACTAGGTAGAGAGCACATATGGATGAAAGATATTACAGATTACTTTCTGTGCTGACCAAAATTTTGTTTCTTAGTACTAGTGCTATATTTTATATAGCTGTTTATTTGTTAGCTACAGTAATATTTGGTAACATTTATGGAGCACTTACAATGTAGGAAGTGCTTGTTCTAAGTGATTTATTAGAATGGTCTCTTTTAATCTTCACAGTAGACTATGACAATATTAAATTCCTATTTTATGATTGAGGAAACCAAGACTTACTTTAAATAGCTTGTCCAAAGTTATATACTACTTAGTAAGTGGCAGAATGAATATCTTAATCTAGCCATGAATCAGTATAACCAGGCATTATACTGCCACCCTTTTATTGACAGGAAAAGCAAAACAAAATTAAAGTGGTATTTTAAAAATGTATATTTTTATTGATTTCAGAGAGGAAGGGAGTGGGAGAGAGAGATAGAAACATCAAAGATGAGAGAGAATCATTGATCAGCTGCCTCTTGCGTGCCCCACACTGGGGATCGGGCCCAACCCTGGCATATTGTTCTCACCAGAAATCGAAACAAAGTGGTATTTATTTATTTATTTTTTTTTTAGTTAATTGTTTCAGGTTTTGTCTAAATAATAAAGAACTTCAGCAATATTTAATACACAGATGCCCCAGGCCTTATACTAGTGATGTTGCTAATAGCAGTTAGAGATTAGAGATGAAAGATTAGAACATAGGAAGTAAACATGTTTCAGAGTTTTTTATGACTAGACTAAAAATCAAGGAAATTAAACAAATATTTAAAAAATCAATTGCAGCCCAGCCAGCATGGCTCAGTGGTTGAATGTCAACCTATGAACCAGGAGGTCACGGTTGATTCCCGCTCAGGGCACATGCCTGGATTGTTGGCTCGATCCCCAGTGTGGGGTGTATAGGGGACAGCCGATCAATGATTCTCTCCCATCATTGATGTTTCTGATTTTCTCTCCCTCTCCCTTATTCTCTGAAATCAATAAAAACATATTTAAAAAATCAATTGCATTCTTAAAAACCAAGTCGTAGAAAAAGACCAAACTTTAACAAGAAAATGAGCAAAAGATATGTACAAATATGTTATTCACAGAACTGTACACAGCAATAAGCATGTGAAAGGATGTTAATATTTGGTAACATTTATTGAGCACTTACTTTGTAGCAACTTCACAAATAATTAGGAAAATGCATATTAAAACAACAGTGGGAGATATTTTGCCCATCAGTTTGGATGAAGGGTTATACAGGTTGGTGAGGCTGTACTGGTGATGAGATTATAAAATAGTACGGTTTTTTGAAGGGCAGTATAACAGTAACTGTTGAAATTTTAAAAAATGCATTTCTTTTGACATAGTGTTTCTAATTCTAGATATATATTCTAGAAAAATATATTTAAGTATAACAAATTTCTATTGAGACATTATTTGTGATAAAAAGTTTGACACAATCTAAATAACTATAAACAAAACATTGGTTATATAAATTATGGTACAAAATACTGTAGACTATAATGAAGCTCTGAGAAAAATCACAAAGAGTTTAATCTCCTTGTAGAGACCTGGAATATTTTCAAGATATATGTATTATTAAGTGAACAGCAAATTTCAGAATAGTATTACTACATCATCCCATTAATATATTTGTAAAAAAGCCAAATTATTAAACTATGTGTTTGGATAGTGTGTGTGTGTATGTGTGTGTGTATCTGTATGTTCACATGTGTGCATGTAAAATAGAAATGAAAGGACACTTAATAGGGGCTACTTTTAGGAAAGGGGAAGTAAGATTGGAAAAAAGGGATGTTGGGAGCTTTCATTGCTTTTTAAAAATATACTTTAAAATTTTTTGTCCCAGGAATATGTTCATGTACTGCTTATTTAATTCAAAAAATTTTTAACATAAGATTTCATTTATAGTAGTGACCAAAAGCTCCCATTAAGTACCTGAGAATTAGTTTAATAAAATGAAATAAAAATAAAGGGATTTGAAAACCTAAGATAGCAGAGAGGAAAATACTCTTAATAAATAGAGTCCAAGAATTGAATATTTAGTACAAATATTTAGCACAAAAGTTCCAACATAAAAATAGAAACTTTATCATATTGAAATATAGTAAAATAACTATTAAGAGGGAAATAGTAGAAGAGGAATATGGGACAATAAAAGACGCTATTATAAATAGATAAAAGAATCAATACAAATATAAACTTAGTTCCATTTTTTACAGATGGTCATAGTATAGAAATAGTTAATTTTATACTTAAGAAAATAAGTCAGTCGTCTCACAGCCTGCCTAGCAACTAAAATGCAAATTTAAATTATTCCAGTATATTTACATGTGGGCATCCTTGTAAATTGGTTAATAGTTTTGTAGAGCAGTGTTTTCAGCCTTTACACCAAATTCCTTTTCTTAAAAATTATATTTTTGAATAGGTAATTCATACATATAGTATAAAATTCAAAAGGCACGAAAGTATTCATTGAAAAACAAGTCTCTCTCCTACCCTTGTGTCTCAAGTCACCTGGTTCCCATTCCTGATGGCAACTTCTGTTAGTTTCTAATGTACCCTTTCTGATGTAGTCTATGTGTTTTTAAAGAGAGCTTGTCCTCTTTATTCACTTAACAATATTATCTTAGAGATCATTTCACATTAACACATACTTATCCTATATAATAAAAGGCTAATATGGAAATTGTCCCCTCAACTGGGAGTTTGACGGGGGTCGGGGGGTGGGAGGGACAGCCCTGCCAACCGTCCGAGGCCCCTCCCCCGGCCAGCCCAGCCCAATTGGCCCCAATGAGGCAGGCCAGCTGGATCCCACCTGTGCACCAATTCATGCATTGGGCCTCTAGTACATATATAAGCATTTTAAAAGAATGATGTAGTATTTCATTGCATGAATCTACATAATTTATCTAATCTTTTATTGATAGACTTTTGGGTTGTTTTCAGTCTTTTGTTCTGAGCAATACTGCATTAAATATTCTTACATATACATGAGTTTATACACATGCTGGCATATTTATAGGATACATTTTTTCATATCCTCTTGAAAAGCATAAAAACATTTTTTATTCCAAATAGATACTTGATAAAAATTAAAGCTATGGAAATGTTTTTTGTTTTATTTCCATTATGACATGTCACTGTTTGGAGCATTGCGCCTACTTCCTTGCTGCAAGCTCTTCTCTCCCAGGGATTGTAAAGCTCAACATAGGTCACATTTAACAGCATGTCTGTTGCATTTCTTGGTTTTTATAACCAGATATGCAGAAAAATTACACTCATAAGTAGCTTGTTTTACTTATATTACAAAACAATAGGTAGTAATAAGATTTTTTCAAATTACATGTTTTCTCTTCATCCAAATTGGAAAATACTGCTATAGTGTGATTTGATATCACATAGCTATAAAATGATTTCTACTCTTTGCCCTGGTAATTCCAGCTTGGAAAATACATCCCATGGAAATAATACTAAACACAGAGAGAAGTATCTGCTCAGAGACACTCATTTTGTGTTCCTTATGAGGACCTAAAGTGGGAAACCATTCCAAATACTAGTATCTCCCAATAAGGGAACAGCAAAATCAAGGTTTAATAGTTCTCTATAGTTTTTGAAGAAATTCATAATTTGATTTAAAAGAAAATAGAAAAATGTATGAAGTCACAAGTCTGCTTTTTTTCCCCCCTAATTGTTTCTTTACCTTCTTTTGACAGGTTTTACTTTTTCTTTTTTACAATACAGTTTACTTTCAGTATTATTGGTTTCCAGTTGTACAGCGCAGTGGTTAGATAATCATATACTTTACATAGTTCTCCCCTTTGCCCCCCCCCCATATTTCCAGTACCCAACTGGCACATACATAGTTATCGCGATATTATTGACTATATTCCCTATGCTGTACATCCCTGTGACTATTTTGTAACCAGCAATTTGTATTTAATTTCTTCACATCTTTCTCCCAATCTCCCACTCCCCTCCCTCTGGCAGCCACCAGTCTGCTCTCTGTATCTGAGCCAGTTTCAATTTTGTTTGTTCATTTATTTTGTTCTTTAGATTCCACATATAAGTGAAATCGTATGATATTTGTCTTTTGCTGACTGACTTATTTAGGCTTTACTTTTCTTTCTTCTTCTTTTTTAAATATATTTTATTGATTTTTTACAGAGAGGAAGGGAGAGAGATAGAGAGTTAGAAACATCGATGAGAGAGAAACATCGATCAGCTGCCTCCTGCACATCTCCCACTGGGGATGTGCCCGCAACCCAGGTACATGCCCTTGACCGGAATCGAACCTGGGACCCTTCAGTCCGCAGGCCGACGCTCTATCCACTGAGCCAAACCGGTTTCGGCTACTTTTCTTTCTTTTTAAAAAAGATACATTTTTATTGATTTCAGAGAGGAAGGGAGAGGGAGAGACAGAGAAAGAGAAACACCAATGATGAGAGAGAACCATTGATCAGCTGCCTCTTGCACTCCCCACAGTGGAGATCGAACCCGTAACCCGAGCATGTGTCCTGACCAGGAATCCAACTGTGGCATCCTGGTTCATAGGTTGACACTCAACCACTGAGCCACGCAGGCTGGGCTAGGCTTTCGTTTTCTATATTAGTGCAATTTACATTCCAGTTATCTGACTTCGGAACAGCCATGTTAATAATTAATGTTTATATTTTAATGTTTAAATTCTAAAATCAAAGCTTGTGTGGATAAATTCTGCATGAATGGATAGTAGGAAGATAATTTTGAAATTGGGTAAAATTAACCTAATGCTTTTAAAATACTTAGGAATTTAAGGAAAAAAATAATACATGTGTATTATAAAAAACAAAACACCTTTTTCTTTGTTTACAGAATATATTCATGTAAAATATTTATACCCACACAATACTTGGAATGGATGCTTTTGTTTTATAGAAGAGGGATTATACTATATATTCCTCTCTTTTTGTTTCCCAGCCATATGTTATGGGTATCTTTCCATGTTATACCTTTTTTAAAAAATATATATTTTTATTGATTTCAGATGCCCCCTGGGAAATGCAGCAGCGAAAGAGAGAAACCACAGAAATAACAGATAGAAGTGATATGGGAAAAATCAATTTGGTGCCTCCGCAATGTAGGCATGTGCCCTTGACCAGAATCGAACCTGGGACCCTTTGGTCCACAGGCCGATGCTCTATCCACTGAGCCAAACTGACTAAGGGTACCTTATTTTTTTAACTCCATATTATGACTAGTCTGTAATGGATTAACCACTGTCCTGTGGTTGTTTCTAATCTCTTGCTGTTGTGAAATGCTGCGCCGAATATCCTGGCATCATCTGATGCATGTATACAAGTATTTCTGTGATTAGATTCGCAGAATATATTTTTTTAGAGATAGCTGAAACAGCAATATTTTTTTTGAATTATTTACCATGTATTTTTATGTAAATTAGTTATTTTTGTAGCCAGTAATACTTCGGGTTAAAATTAATTACTTTTCCTAAAATTACCTCTTTAGTATAAGAAATACTACAAATTATTTTGTTATCAACATAAATTGTCAGAAACTGCTAATAATGGCTAAACACATCTATGCTTTTATGGTTTAGCCAGGCTGTTTGATTTTTGGCTCTGGTAAAATTAAGTATTATAAACCATTCTGGATAGTTAATTTTTTAAAAATATATATTTTATTGATTTTTTACAGAGAGGAAGGGAGAGAGATAGAGAATCAGAAACATCGATGAGAGAGAAACATCAATCAGCTGCCTCCTGCACATCTCCTACTGGGGATGTGCCCGCAACCCAGGTATACGCCCTTGACCGGAATCGAACCTGGGACCTTTCAGTCCGCAGGCCGACGCTCTATCCACTGAGCCAAACCGGTTTCGGCTGGATAGTTAATTTTTAAAGGTACTCCCTGTTATTATACTTTTTAAGAATTGCCTTCCTTTATTCAAGGTTCTGTTGGTGCAACTAATATGAATGAGCATAGTTCCCGTTCCCATGCCATCTTTACAATTACCATAGAATGCAGTGAAAAAGGCGTTGATGGTAACATGCACGTCAGGATGGGGAAGCTCCATCTTGTAGATCTTGCTGTAAGTAATAGACTACTACTTTAAAGAATAACTCTTGTAATTTTTTTATTTTATAAATAAATAAAAATTCAAGTGAAAAGGTGTGATTTATATATGATTTTTAAGTTGTTAACTTGAGTATGTGTTTTGTTTACTATGGAATATTTCAAACCTGTACAAAAGTAGATAGAATAGTGTAATGATCTTCCATGTAACCATCACCCACTTCAACAATTACTTGTTCATGGCCAGTCCTGTTTCATCAAAAGTGCCATTCCCCACTTTTCTTCTGGTATTATTCTGATGTGAATTCCAGATACTATATCAGATTTCTTTCCTGTTAAATTGCTTTTTATTAAGCTTTAGAAACAATATTCTGTATTTTTTTATTTTAGCTTTATTTCTATGTCTGTTTATTGCTAGGGTTCAGAAAGACAGGCAAAAACTGGAGCTACTGGACAGCGCCTCAAGGAAGCTACAAAAATCAATCTTTCGCTTTCCACCCTTGGTAATGTAATTTCTGCCTTGGTTGATGGAAAAAGCACTCATGTGCCTTATCGTAATTCTAAATTGACTCGCCTTCTTCAGGATTCCTTAGGAGGAAATTCAAAGACCATGATGGTAAGACTTAATTGATGATATTATAGTTATCATCAGGCAACTTTTAGATTCCTGTTTATCCCTATAATAGATATGCATAACATTTTTTAAAGTATTAATTTTTTTACTTTATTTGATTTTGTGGTTATTCTTTTTCTAGTATACCATGTATACAAGCCCATACTGTGTTACTTGGAAATACATGTGGTTATACTAACTCTCTCTTTCTTTTTTAAAATATATCTTATTGATTTCAGCAAAGAAGGGAGAGGGAAGGGATAGAGAGAGAGAGACAGAAACATCAATGATAGAGAATCGTTGATTGGCTGCCTACTGCACATCCCCTACTGGGGATCAAGCCTGCAACCCAGGCATGTGCCCCTGACAGGAATCGAATCTGGGACCCTTCAGTCCACAGGCTGACATTCTATCCACTGAGCCAAACCAGCTAGGGTCTTATTCTCTTTTTCAAGAAGATGAGAGTAGGAGTATGCTTAGAAATTATTTTAGTTATCTTCATAATGGTATTAATTTTAACTGTATCAGGTGTTACAATGTTTTGTTTTGTATTCCTAATTCAACAGTGTGCAAATATTGGGCCAGCAGATTATAATTATGATGAAACTATTAGTACATTACGGTACGCTAACCGTGCTAAGAACATTAAAAATAAAGCTAGAATTAATGAAGATCCAAAGGATGCTTTACTTCGTCAATTTCAGAAAGAAATAGAAGAACTGAAAAAAAAGCTTGAGGAAGGTAACTTTCCCCCAAATGTTAATCTTAATGTTGGCTAAAAATATGTTGCTTTACCACTAAGTGTACTAATAAAAACCACCTATTAAAAATTCTTTGCACCTCTAACATTGATATTTAAAGGAATATTTCTGCTTGCTCACTTGATACATACTTTAGCATTTTCATATTAAGTAAGCTCAAGTAAATGTATATAATGTTTGTATATGTGATTTAAAAACTTTACTTAATTTAAACCTCTGTCTTAATCCCAATGACCTTTTGTAGATTTTATATGACCACTTATTAAATAATTAACTTTTATTTGTCTCTGTATAAGAGCAAATTCTACCATATATTTATTTATTTATTTTTGTTCAGTAGTTAAGAGTCTTTATTAGACAGGAGGTGGGACTTCCATCTCAGAGGAATCTCAGCTCAGACGACACAGGAGGAACCAGGATGGGATGGGACAGGAGCAAGGGCGAAGCCAAGTGTTATCCCAGGGGCTCCGGGTGCAGTGGGCTGTGCGGGCTGGAGGCTGGAGTCTCCCCACTTCCATCCCCTCAAAGGCTTCTAGGAGGAGGCAGTCAACTTAGTAGAATTTAGCCTCATCTTTCAGTCAATCCAGGAAGGCTTCTTAGAGGAACCCCAGGCCAACTGGTGAAGCAGGTTCTCCTTTTTGGTACAGGCAAGTAGGTGCCTGATCAAGGCCAGTTCCTTCCTTCCTGGAGGGTGGGAGCTGTGCCCGGGAAAGGGTACAATGAAGGGCTGCCAGAAACCAGGAGTCCAACGCACAGCTGTGGGGGTCAGTCCTTTCCTGCCCCACCTGGGGCTGGGAGGCAGCAGCTTGGAGGCCCCCACAGTTCACTTCTCCAAGGGCTTTAACACCTTTCAAATCAGTCAGGTCAAGCCAAGGTCAGAGAACTGGTGCGTCAGCAGTACAGATCTTGGGTAGACATTGGGAAGGACTTCCCAAGATAGAAATAAGCAAGATCATAGAATTTCATCGAGCCCAAGGTGCCCATCCATGCTCTCAGGCGCTGTCCTTTCGGGCCCTTCCCGCCCATAGAGCACCTCGGCCCTGGGTCCTGGGTGCCAGGGCTCAGCAGGCACCGGGGCAGGGTCACTCACCCGAAGGCCTCGATGGAGCAGAGGTGAGGCGGGAAGAGCGCACCTCACCTTCCCAGGGACCGCCTCAGCCTCTGCCGTGCTCTCTATACCATATATTTAGATGACTGTGACCAGAGTTCCTTGTGATAGATATCAGTCACTGTTGTTTGAAGTACAGAAAGCTATCACCAAGTTTACTATCAGTAAAATTCACTGCATAGTCTTCACATAGCTTTCATACTTAAATTTGAACATGAGGTTCTCTTTTGTAAATTCTTTCCTAACGATAATATTAGAAGATTAGCTAGTTTGAAGACCTTATTCATGTGGTTGAGAAATTTACCATCACTAAGTGCTCAGTGACTTCCTGTACCTTCATGCTAAGTACCAATTGGCATAGGGCTCCTTTGCATACCAGGTACACCAGAGGGCTTTGAAACTGCCTCTTTGCAGCCTGTGGGAAAACTGGTTAGATCAGATGTGAAATCAAGAGATGCCAACATCACAAATGTTTGGAGAAGGTGCTGATTCAGTACACTTGAGTAAGATTATTGAGGAAAAGCAGTTGTAATTGACCTGCCTCTTAGGATAATGAAATTTGGTGTTTTAAATGTGACCACTAGGTGGTATTTATAGTCAGTATATTTTAAAATTTTTAAATTTCTTAGATTTGTTAATGTTGAGTATATATTTTGCTGACTTATCTTTTTTACATTTATTTATTGTGGTAAAATATACATAACATAAAATTCACCATTTTAACTATTTTTAAGTATATTAAATAAGTTCACATTGTTCTGCAACCATTACCATCATCCATCTCTAACTTTATAGTCATCCCAAAATGAAACTCTGTCCCCATTAAACACTAACTCCCCATCACCCTTTCTCCCTCAGCACCTGGTAGCCACTATTTTACTTTCTATCCCTGAATTGACTATTCTAGGTACCTCCTATAAGTAAAATCATATAATATGTGTCCTTTTGTGTCAGGCTTATTTTATTTAGCACGATATCCTCAAGGTTCATCCATATTGTAGCATGTATCAGAATTTCCTTCCTTCTTAAGGCTGAATAATATTCTGTTGTATGTATATACCACATTTTTTTAAAAAAATGTTTTTATTTTTTTAAAGGGAGAGGGAGAGGGAGAAACATTGATCAGTTGCCTTCTGTATGCACCCAACCTGGGATCAAACCCTAAACCTGGGCATGTGCCCTGACTGGGAGTCAAACTGGAGACCTTTTGGTACATGGAAATATGCTCAACCATCTGAGCTTCGCCGGCTACGGCTATTCCACATTTTGTTTATTCATTTATCTGTCGATGGGCACTGAGTGGCTTCTGACTTTTGACTGTTGTGGATAATGCTGTTATGAATGTGGGTATACAAATACCTGTTCAAGTCCTGATTTCAATTTTTTGGGGCATATACCCAGAATTGGAATTGCTGGATCATATGGAAATGCTAATTTTATTTTTAACACATTTCATTTTATTTATGCTCCTAGGACACTTGTTTTTGTAGGACAGTTGACAGAGTTTTATAATCTGGTTAATAGAATTGATCATAAGAACAATAAAAAGTAGGCAAAAATATTTAAAAATTACTTTTTTAACTTTTTATTTTGAAATAATTTTGGACTTATAGAAAACTTGCAAATATAGTGAGAGTTCCAAATACCCATCACCCAGCTTCCCCTGATGTTAATATCCTATATAATAAAAGCCTAATATGCTAAGTGTCCAACCGCTCATTTGACCAGTCGCTATGACACGCACTGACCACCAGGGGGCAGGCACTCCAACCAGTAGGTTAGCTTGCTTCACACGTCCTAGAGCTCTCCCTTGGTTCCTCCCCAGCGGGCCAATCTCGCAGTCCCTCCCCATCCTCTAAAATATTTCTTCTAATTATTTCAATGTGCATGAATCCATCCACCTGGCCTCTAGTCTTACATAATCATAGAACAGTTAATGAAACAAGGTAATTTACATTGATACAAACTTAACTAATCTAAAGATCTTAAAATTTTTTAGGCCCTACCAGTAAAACAGTTTTATTTCATTTTAAAATAGTCATTTATGTGAAGATCTTATTTAAATTTTGACAGTTTTCCCTCTCATGCCCTTTTTCTCTAGTCCAGTATCTAATCTAAGATCACATTGTGCATTTAGTTGTCTTTTTAATTTCATCCAGTCTCCAGTTCCTCAGTCTCTTTTTGTCTTTCATGCTCTTAACACTTTAGAAAAGTACTGGTCATATATTTATAAAATGTTCCTCAATTTGGGTTTGTCAGTAGTTCTCTGATAATTATTCTGCAAGGTTTCTATACTATAAATCTATTACTTACTTTATTTTCTCCTTTATAACTAACTAGGGGCCCGGTGCACGAAATTCGTGCACTGGGTGTGTGTGTGTGTGTGTGTGTGTGTGGGGGTGTCCCTCAGCCCAGCCTGCTGCCTCTCACATACTGGGAGCCCTCAGGCGTTGATCCCCATCACCCTCCAATCGCAGGATCGGCCCCTTGCCCAGGCCTGACGCCTCTGATAGAGGG